TGAAAGTGCAGTATTTCTCTTCCTCTTAGAGGAAGCCAGCAAAGTTTCTGGAAGAAGAGATCCACAGTCCTATCCTCAGATGTCCAAGATTAAGTTTAGGGGATGAGAGTTCCTTATGGAATTAGAAGGTTTTAAGGAGTAGGCATTAATCAGCAAAGAATGAAGTTGGGAGGGTAGGGGGTAGGGACCCCTGATGCTGCCGTATGTATGTGATTAGGAGCACCACACCATGGCTCCTCTTCCTGGTTGGAAGAAGCAAAATGTGCTTTGTCCAGAACCAAGTGGGAAGCTTTGGGGGGATCTCTCAGACCCTGCAGTAGAATTCACAAGTGTTTTTCCTGAGGCACCACCCCAAAACTGCCTACCATACCTCCTGCAGGCCCTTTGATACGAAAGTGGTCTTTGGCAGATTTGTTTTCCTGTGAAGGAAAGATAATAGTATTTTCCTTGGCACTGTGAAGATATACAGCATGGGACCAGATTTATGGACCCACTCTCTAGAGGCCCCTGCTTCGTGTGAAAGGGTCCCAAGAGTAGGGTAGGAAGTTCTTCTGTCTGGTCTTCTCTACAACCCACTGAAAGGGCAGGGAGCTAGGGACTGCACTGCTGGGTGGCAAAGTAGGCAAAGTCAAAGGAGAACGGCTATTAGCTGTACTGTTCCTAGGGTGCCTGTAAACCCCATTCTGGGCCAGGACAGTTTTATTTGCTCCCTTGATGTTTGCAAATTGGGTTCCATTGCATTCAAATTGCCAGTTTCATTCCATGCAAATGATACATATTTTGTGTATTTTTTAAATTTCCATTTTAAACTAAAATGTTCTGATTTTGTGTATTTTCATCTGGGACCCTCATTCCTACTATGTGTTTCGGGGACTGCACAGCAGAACTATTGTATTTGTTGGTTTTTTAACAGGATAAAGAAAAACTATAATATGTGACCCATTAAGCTATGACATTTTATTTTTCCAGTCATAACAGACTTCCTTGCCATGATATCCTTTTTAAATTCCTCTCCCATGTTGAAACATAATGAGGACTGAATTTTAACTGAGTCATCTTCTGGTGTTACTGGTCCACCTTTTGAAATAGTGTAAATAAGATTAAAAGAACCCTTCTAGGTCAGGCACTAAGCTTTGCTTCGCCATACGTCAACTTTTATCAAACGTGTAAAACCTAAAAATCTCAGTCAAACTGTTTCTTTCTGTATCTCTTGTGTATGTGTATATGTTCTAAGAGTCAAGTTGAGGTTTTTATGAACCCTTTCCACCTCACATGCTGCCTGGATGGTGTATTTATACACTGGTGGAAAATGCCAAGTCTTTAATCCTGCAAAATTCCAAACTTTACCATGGAGACCTGTAAACCATCTTCTTTGCTGAGTTAAGGCTTATTTCTGCCCTCCCTGCTAAAGTTGTACTTGTGGTGACATAGTAGCTAACAGAGAAAGGGCAGCCCCATCTCCTTGACTATTGCCTGTAAAAAAGGGGACAAATACAGTATTACCCATTGGGTCTTAGATGTCTGATTATGATTTCCTGTCTCTTAAAATACTTTAGTTTTGTTTTTAAACATGTCTGAGCTCTGTAGAACTTTACAACTTGATAGCTTGCTAGTGTGTGTGACTGTGTATGTGTGTGTGTGTCTGTGACAGAGTGGTTAGTTTTCTATTTTCTTCTGGTGTTTTTATTGCTTACAAATGTACTGTTTATTCAAGGGAGGATAGCAAGATCATTTTGACCCAGATAGTGAAGCAGGCAAAAGGATCTGAAATATGAACCTGAGGGCTACATAAATTGGAGTAATTTCGTCTGTCCTTTTGTCTGTCTGTACTTCCTTTCTCCTCTCAGCATTTTTCTCTTTTGGCCCAGATCCTCTGTCCTGAAAATTAGCGTAGTCCCTTGCCGTGGCCTAAAGTGGGAACAGAGGAAGCAGATGTATTTCTAGAAGTGTCTCTGACTTCGGTAATAGTGGTGGTCATGGGCATTGTGCAGTAAATAGAGTACACTTAAAAACTCTCCCATATTTTTATCCTAGATCCGTACTGGATTAGGTCTGTTCTTTATTGTGAAACGTGTTAAACACTTACACCACAGGATTATTCCTCAAAACCTACAGTAGAGAAGTGGAGTTAATCTTTATGGGAACTGAGAGTCTGGGGATGGGCCCTCAGTTTCTGTTCTGCTAATCCAAGAAATATATGTCCAGATACCACAAGATTGTCTAAATGGACAGATGTTACTTCTGCTAAAAACTAAAGCTTCACGTGGAACTGTGAATTTATATGGATAGAAAGAATGGTTGTATATTGTGTTCCTTATCCTTTTCCCCTTTGTTCAGCTCTTTGGGAAACTGATCACTTTCATATGCTTTGGTGACCTCTTCATTGTATATATTATTTTGATAGTTTCATTATTTGGTTTTTCTTTCTCTTCTTTCACTTATTGTTAACCCTCTTCACCTTCTGCTTTTTTTATTCTGAAGAAAAAAATACAATAAATGAATAAAGATTTTAAACACTTACCGAAACTAACAACAGAAAAAGAGGTAATCATTGGAATAGTCCCAGGGCTCGGTTCTGTTTTGTACATTCTATCAGTATTGTCTTCACAGTTTAGTTTTTCCATTCTGTAAAAGTAGGATTAACAATACCTTGCAGAATTGTTTGGCATGTTACAGGTGTTAACGCCAGTGTTAAATTATTTTGGTACAAGTGCTAGACAGCGTAAACTATGTTATGATACTGCTTCTGAACCTTTTCCAGTCAGGTTAATAGGAAACATGTATCTGTAGACAGGTTTTGTAGATCACAGTGTAGTAAACTGAAGATGTTCCTTTGGCCAGAACTTAGTGTTCCAGAGGCTCACGTTGTCCCAGGTCCTACCCATCCAGCTGCCTGAGGGAATCATATATAATTTACCTGTAACCCATTCACAACATACTGGTTCTGAAATTTTGAATAGGATATTGCATGTGAATTGTGTCAGGAATCTTTGGTAGAGGCGGGGAAGATCTCAGTTCTGTTCTGCTCTGTACCGGCCTTAAATTAGGCGGGCTCTCAGCACTTGGTGACAAAGATGGCCATCTGATCTAGGCTTTCTCTGTTCTCACAGTTGTAGTCCTACCGAGAATAAAAATTGCCTTTCAGCTATTAGAACCATCATAGTTCCCACCAGGGTTCCGATTTGCCCAGTGTGAGTCACGTGCATATTCCCAAACCCATCATCATGGCAAGATGGATGGAATCCTTTGGCCAGCACTTGGTGGCATGTCTACTGCTATGGGTAGGTAGGTTGTTTTTATGAAGGTATGGCATGATTGTTGATTGAAAGTATAGAAGGAAAGGAGATTAACCCCACTTGAAACAGTAGAATGGATTCTCTGTACGGAAAAAAAGATTCTGCTCTCCAAAGGAAGAAAGTGAAAGTGTCAGCTGTATTAAGTGCTTGATGCTTCTGAAAACATCATGGGTTTCAATTTAGGAGTACATGGTATTAGAAGTGAGTTCTTGTTTTGGTAGAAATAGATGGTTCACCATTTTTAAAAATTTTACTTCCCAGTTTGGAACTTTAATGAGAACCACAAGATATAAGAAAATCAACTTGGTGAAACCACCCTTGGGGAAGATTTCCTAATTCGGCTAATGTAATTCATCTAGACCTGTGCTGTCCAGCTACGTGGCCACTGACTGCATGGGACTGTTTAAACTTATTTCTTCATATGCATCATCTACCATTCAAAGTACTCAGTGGCCACATGTGGCTAGTGGTTACTGTATTGGGTGTGATTAGTGAAGAATTTACGAAGGATGGGGAAGGGTGAAGAAAAGGAGTTACTCTTAACCTAATAGAAAGAGTGGGGTATTATTATGTATGTGATAAATGGATTTTTAATTAGATGAGAATGTTTTCTCTGAAAGTGCCTTTGTCATAATCTTGTATAATCACATAACAGAAACTCTTTGCCCTTTTTAGGAAAAGGTTTCATCAAATCAAACATCTAATTGCCTGGTTCCCTCCCTTTATTTTTTGCTTGGGGCCAGGAGCAAAAGGCTATTTTGCAACAGCACAATCTATAACCTCGCACCAATGAGAAAAGGTAGAGAAATTTAATTTTTCCTCCGATGTTTCTCTTTACATACGTGCACATTGCTTGTAGTGGAAAAAAGCCTGGGAATTATTTTGAACATTTTTGCAACGTGTTGAGCTTATTGTTACTTTATCTAACAGAAACTTTATTCCCTGTGATTAAGGTGTCTAGTTTTTATCTGTGGATGAAAATTTCCCACAAGGAAAAAGATTTCTAAGCCCTGGGCGATCAGGGATGGCATCTAACTCGCTCACTGTTGTACATCCAACAGCTCACTTGGTGCCTCTGGCACGTAGTAAGTGCTTAGTAAATATTTCTGAATCAAGATTTCTGTTATTCAGAGACTAGTTCATCCATGTCAAGGCTGTTTGTTGCTTTTTCGCCATACTCCTGCTTAACTCTGTCTTGCTTCCCTTAGAAGTGTGGAAAAGAAGTGCGTTTCTATGTAATACAGTTTTTCAGATCTTCTAAGCAGCCATGATATGAATTAAAATATATGGAGTAACATCATTTTTACCCTCCCTCATGAAGAGATAGACTTCAAGCTAAATAATTTTGCTTTTGCTTTTTCTTACTGCACTTAACTTACAATTTTTAAAATATGTTATTTGAAAAGCTTTCAGGCCTCTCCTTTTTGTAGATCGGAACATGTAGCCAGTTAAGACAGTGCCTTCTGCAGAGTTCATTTTTGGCTCTGTAACATGACCTTTATGCTAAACTGAGATTCCCTCTGCTTTGTCTCCCAGGTAGCAGCTTGTTCTAGCCTAGTCAGATGGAGTACTGAAAACAAGATTTTGATACTCTGTTCCCTTTCCCCTAAGATCTCAAATATATCCTTAAGTTTAAAACCAAAATACTTTTGAGTCCTGTGAATATGAGTCTTCATAGGTGACCCTTTCTTTTCCTGTTTTTAGGACTATCCTGTTAAGTGTAATCTCATTGCTTAATGAGCCCAACACCTTCTCCCCAGCCAATGTGGATGCTTCGGTTATGTTCAGGAAATGGAGGGACAGTAAAGGAAAAGACAAAGAATATGCTGAAATCATTAGGTAAGGTGCTGTGTTTTGTCTTCTGTTTGGTTACTTCAAATCTTCATACAGAACCAAAGTATTTCCTAGAACCAAGAGTTTAAATTGAACTCAAATGTCTACTCCATGTCTCTCAGTTAGATTTATTTTTGGGGAAGAGATTTCTGCCTGAGTCTAATGTCCACCAGGATGGAGACATCCAAATGTTTATATAGGGCCTGGAGCTTAGAAGAAAAGTATGGGCTGAACCCTGATGATTTGAGAGCTGTCACCGTGAAGGGTCAGAACCGTGGGGAGGGGTAGAATGGTTCAGGGAGAGCACTGTGAGAAGAGATTCAAGCCTGTAGGCCTCGGCAGCGTCAGGAAGTAAGGGAGCAAGAACAACTGAGAGAAGTTGGTCTAATTAAAAAGGAGGCAGGAGGAAGAATACTGTTTTGGTTTTCAAGTTCAGTTTCTCTAGTCCCTTGATAGAGGTCACATTTTCATACATGTATGAAGCCTTCATACATTCATACAGTCAGTGTTTGTTGCACAGCTGTATGTGCCAGGCTGTGTTCTAAGAACTGAGGAAATAGAATTAAGATAGACAAGGTCTCTGCTCACATTCAGGGGGAAGGAGGACAACAGAAAGGTGAACAAAAATGAGGAAAATCCTAAAAAGAAAAGAAATGCTAGATAGTGGGTAAGTAGGATAATACGAAGGAATGAGAAGGTGGCTGCTTTAAATTGGATTGTCAGAACAGAGAATATCACCTCTGAGGCGATGTTTCATTTTAGACCTGAGTGACAAGAATCAGCCAACCATATGCAGATCAAAAGAGTACAGAAAAATTAACTAGGTGTGTTGATGGTACTGGAGAAAAACCCAGGGTGGCCTGAATGTTTTGGAATTGGAGAAAGTAATGGGTGGTGAGAATGAAGTGGTAAGGAGGTGTAGATCATGCAAGACTTTGAAATCCAACACAAGATACTTGGGTTTTACTCTGTGCAAATAGGATTACTGAGTTGTTGGGGCTGCATCCTGTTTAGGATAAGATGGCTGGGTGAACAAAATCAGAGGTGGTTTCTGGCTAACCAGCATTTGAGACCCACCACTTTGAACACCCTTCACAAGGCGTTACTAAGCGTCCTTCAGAATGATGCCTGATGGGCCAGAACCTCTGGTGTAGTAGAGGGTCTGTCGGATGCCTTCAGGTAGGTAGGTAGGTAGGTACTAAAGTTCAGAAACCTGAGTCATAAGGAATCTTCAATTTCTTAGACCAATTATAAATTCATCTTTCGGAGATTTAGATAAACTATCCTCCCTTCAGGAAACAGGTTTCAGCGACTAAAGCCGAAGCAGAAAAGGACGGAGTGAAGGTCCCCACGACCCTGGCGGAATACTGCATCAAAACTAAAGTGCCTTCCAATGACAACAGCTCAGATTTGCTTTATGACGACTTGTACGACGACGACATTGATGATGAAGATGAGGAGGAGGAAGATGCCGACTGTTACGATGATGATGATTCTGGGAATGAGGAGTCGTGACGTGCTCCTTCAGTGCCCCTGCACTGCCCTGCCGTCTCAGGCCAAAGGGAGGGGAGCAAGTGGGGACCTAGCAGTGGCCCCTCAGCAAAAACCTATCACGGGGGTGGGGAAAACAAACACGGCTCCTGCTGACTCCCCTTATGGATCTCAGTTTGCTCCTTTTTGTGGACCTCTTAACGGAGAGAACGTAATCCTCCACAGAATGTCTGAATTCTTGCATTCTTTGCCCTTCCATCACTGTATTGATTTTTTTTTCTTTCTTTCTTTAAACCTAAATTCTCACCTCACTCCGTCTCTACAAAGTGTTCACAGTGAAACACATTTGGTCTGTTTTTAGATTCTTGAAGAATTAGTCTTTCATCAAGATGTTTAATGTGTTTAAAGCTGGGAACCCATTAGGAGTTCACAAGTGCTGCATATGCTGGGTAGCAAAAGAAAAGAAAAAGCCTAAAACCCCCACAAAACAAAAACTTTTTTTTTTTTAAAAAAGCAAATTTGCCAAGGTTTAGCTGCTCATTTACATTAGTGTGTGTGCATTTGTTCAGCCCCATGGTGGTGAGTTTTGTTTCTTTCTCTTCTTAAGGCTGGGGTACAGTGGGCATCAGGGACTTTGCTAAGGGTAAGCCTGATGAAGTGAAGGGCACAGGGCCCCCTTCAGCCTCCAGAAAATCATCCTAACAAGGAGGGAGGCCTCAGCTACTCTGAGAAGTCAGATTTTGTTTTTTGAAATCGATTGGGATCTAAAGCCTGAAATAAATATTCATACTTTACATAGAACTGAGCACTTGATTGCTATTTATTTTGAAAGCAGAGTTGTTTTTTTTTTCCCCCAGGGAGTGGGGAGAGTGGGGATTAGTGTGTGTGTGCGCGTGTGTGTGGAGTCTTAGTGATGGGAACAGAGAGTTAAAAATCACTATGCCAATTTTGGTTGATGCTGCTGGGGGAAAATGTCAAAACTACTGGTGACCACTGTTCGTGGAGAAAACATCTGTTATATATTTAACATGGCCTTTCCCTGAGAAATACACTCTTACTGCGGATTTTTTTTAAGTAGCCAGTTTTAATTACTCAGTATTAATACTAGGTGCATGTGTTAAGATTTTGGTTTTCATTGAGCTGCTTATACTGATAGTGGTAACTGTGGATACGTGAGACATGAGTGACCGGTTCCCGCTTTCCTCATTGGATGTGACCTGGACTTTTCTCTCCTTTCAATGTATTCGGGCTGTGGATTGCCAGCAGAAGTTGTGCATGGAGCTTTCCCTGAGCTTCTTTTGATTCTTCTGGCAGAGCCGAGGGAGTTGGCTGCAGACAGTGTCTTGGCGACACTAGATCTTCCTGCCCTGCAGTTGCTGCAGCCTTGATTTCCCCGTCTCGATCATGTGTTACTTCAATCAATACTGAATTCCATCAAGCTTCACCAACCAGGGACTTCAGAACTTGGCGGTGATTTTTGTTTCTTACGGGAGTGGGCCAGTTCCTAGGAGGGCAGTTTTCTTTCAGTGGGGAATATTTTGGAGGGAAAATACAGCAAAGACTGGCTATAATCCTGTCAGATCCCTGCACACTAGTGTCAACTCTTTTTCTTCAGATCGTGTAGCTCAGAATGGAAGGGTTGATGAGGGGTAGGATGGGTCCTAGGACAGAGTAGATGATGCTTGCTTGCATCCTTAGTTCCTCCTTCCTTTCTGATCTCAGGGTTTTCATTCAGACTCTCCAAACATTTGCTAATCCCCAGCAGCCATCTCTGGACTAGTCTGCTCTAGTACTAAGTGGGAATGTTCAACATGCCAAGGTTCATACAGGACACCATTGAGCCTGGTCCCAGAACCTGTCCAAACTCCATGGGTTACTTGCACCCCTGAATCAGGTGGCTGAAATCATATTCAGAGAAAAGAGCAGCTGACAAACAGTGAGTACAAACTCTTGTAGAAGGATGTTGGAACTAGGTTTTTATGCCCCACACTTCCTAAGTGACACGTCAAATAACTTACAAATCTTCTGGAGCCCAGAGTCTCTCACAATACTCTGATTACCCCCACACACACCACTCCCATAGTCCTGTTTACAGCCAGTAGCTTGGTCTCACTCTCTTGGACCCCTTTTAAAACTAAGCCTTTTTCCTTACTGCTAAAGCATTTGCTTTCCAGGGCAGGCCAGACACCTTGGCATCGTGGGAGGTGCTATGCTGCTCAGCCCTGTCGCTAGGCCCTGTCGGCCTCTGTTACACATTGACTCAGGGAGCCAGAGAGCCAGGTAGAGTTCGTACCTCTCAGCCCTTCGGGGTGTTACTGTTGAGGGCTGGGTTTGCCTCTGATAAGAGTACAATCAGTTCCAGAAAGACTGGGGTGTGTTGATTTGCTTAGCAGGTAGACATTCTGATAGCTCAGACTTGTAAAACCCAGATGC